TTTTAACGGTTTTAAAGAAAAAAACCTAAAAGTACACAGTTAGTTCAAATAATCGCTAACTGACATAATAAATGAATTCTTTTTGAATTTATTTCATAAAACAAATGTGAAAGCAAACTAAGAAAAAGAGTTTAAAACATCTGTATCAGCATACATTTTTTTTACAGATATTTAAAATTATCGTAAATTTTTAAAATGGAAAAAAGCTGTTTATCTTAGGCTTACAAAAAAAACACGGAGGGTGTTTTGTTTGTTCAAAGCTTTTTAAAAACATGTTCAGTTATTGTACTTTCTTTTGAGGTATCGTTTATGCAAATGGTTTAAAAATTGTTGAAACTAAGACCAGAAATCCTAATTGAGGAAGATTTTTTTAAATTTAAGATAAAATAATTAAAACAAAATTTAAACTGAAATCACTTATTTTTCGTGTTCAAAATGTTCGCCGCGATTTCTAACACACGCACGGGCCCGTGTTCTTGCTTGTTGTCGTTATTTTCAACATCATCTCCTATTTCATCGTTTGAAATGCTGCATTTATTCTTTCTATTAATTGTTCTTTTGTGTTTATCTCCACATGAGTTTAAACACTATTTTAAAGGACTAGTTTTATCATCTTCCAGCAGGACGGGTGTCCAGCCCATTGGACTTTAAATGTAAGAGAGCATTTAAATAATTGCTTTCCTGATAGCTGGATCGGCAGATATGGCCCAATCTCTTTGCCTGCTTGGTCACCTGACCTTACTCCGATGGACTTTTGCGTGTGGGGTCAGGCCAAGGAACTAGTTTACACTCATGTGGAGATAAACACAAAAGAACAATTAATAGAAAGAATAAATGCAGCATTTCAAACTATGAAACAGGAGATGATGTTGAAAATAACTACAACGGAAGTAAGAAAACGGGCCCTTGCGTGTGTTAGAAATCGCAGCGAACATTTTTAACACGAAAAATAAGTGATTTCAGTTTAAATTTTGTTTTAATTTATTCATCTTAAATTTTAAAAAATCTTCCTCAATTAGGATTTCCGGTCTTAGTTTCAACAATTTCTAAGCAATTTGCATAAACGTTACCTCAAAAGAAAGTACAATAACTGAACATGTTTTTAAAAAGCTTTGAACAAACAAAACACCCTCCGTGTTTTTTTTTGTAAGCCTAAGATAAACAGCTTTTTATCATTTTAAAAATTTACGATAATTTTAAATATCTGTAAAAAAAAATGTATGCTGATACAGATGTTTTAAACTCTTTATCTTAGTTTGCTTTCACATTTGTTTTATGAAATAAATTCAAAAAGAATTCATTTATTATGTCAGTTAGCCATTATTTGAACTAACTGTGTACTTTCAGGTTTTTTTCTTTAAAATCGTTAAAAATTATTAAAAATAAAATGGTCAGACTTCGTCTATGACAAGCATGGCTCAAATGTTTCTAAATGATCTCTGTTCGCTTTCCTTTAAAGCTTTGCACTCATCTTCCAAACACCCTGTATAGTAAAAGGCAAAAATATGGAAAAAATATAGTATCTGGATAAAATATCTACTGTATTTTCGTCAAAAGCCTGCTTAAAGCAAAATATAGTACTTTCGCCTACTATTTTTTTTAGAAATATAGTATTTGTACCCCTGATATAGTATGATACTATAGTATATAGCAAAGTTTATTATATAAAGGGGTAAACCTAGTCAGGATAGTCAGGAATCAAATTGGCTGATCATACTATATGATAACAATGATACATTTGTATGAGCAGACTTTCATCATAATTGACGATGAAAATAACAATGCATAATTGGCTTTAAAGCCTATTTATTACACTTGCACTGGCGGTTGAAAAGTTTTGAGCCTCAGTACCTTTAATCATCAGTAATGAGTAGTGCTATACACCACTAATTGAGGGTATTCTAAATAATATAAATACCAAGTTTCATGTCATTAGCATCATTACATTTTTAATAACTGAACATCACCATGTCTGACTCATCAGCGCTTTCTACGAAATTGGAGTACAGACCTGTCATAAAATTCCTCACAAAGAAAAACAAAACGCCGACGGAAATATTTGAAGGGATGTCTGCAGTTTATGGGGAGTCACCTTCATTTGCCACCGTAAAACGTTGGAGCCGTGAATTCAAACACGGCAGGGAGTCGCTTGAAGATGATCCCAGGTCGGGACGCCCAAACACCGCCGTTACCGAAGAAAACATTATAAAAGTGAAAAAAGTTGTTCTGGAAGATCGGCGAATCAAGTTGTGGCAGTTAGCTGAAGCCATAGGCACTAGCAAAGAACGAATCGGTGACATTTTGCATAATCATTTGCACATGAGAAAGGCGTGTGCTCGGTGGGTGCCGAAAATGCTCACGCCGCTTGACAAGCAGCGTCGCGTCACAACTTCGGAGGAGTTTTTGGACATCTGTGGCGATAATCCTGACGATGTTTTTTTTTTGCCTTGTTACTGTTGATGAAACATGGATCCCACCAAAAACATTCTGTAAAAAACTAGCCAAGTCTCGATGGAGCTGCTGGTTTATCTCTAAAAAGTAATGAAATCTAGACAAAGTCGTGCCAAATATAAGGTTCCTTACTGCGATTTCTTTATTATTATAGTTATGTTGTATGACTTGGCCGTTTAAGGGTACACAAGGGTACAAAACCAGGTGCTACATGACACCATTGCACCGATGCATTCATACATGCAACATTACGTGTAAACGCAACTTTATCAAGCCTACAATTGACTGGTTATTCAATCAACGTTTTCCAAGTGGCAATTTTCCATCGTCAATGGGTAGCGGTCCCAATCAACCATTGCACCAATCTGTCGCCAGAACCTTATTCTTGGCACGACTTTGTCTAGATTTCATTACTTTTTAGAGATAAACCAGCAGCTCCATCGTGACTTGGCTAGTTTTTTACAGAATGTTTTTGGTGGGATTTCACTTCTTTTTGTAGAAACGTGGGCATATTGATTTTTTTATTAGATTTCCAGATTTTTCCTCTAATTTTATTTATATGCGTATTAAAAGTAGAAGGGGCGGCATTCTCCCAGCAGTGGGACGCTATAGGCTAGATTAAATTAAAAGATGTGTCCCACTACGCTGGATTTTTGCAATGACAGTCGATTTTTTTGTGTACCAATAGTAGAAGGCATTACCATATCTCTAATACAGCTGAGACCAGCTGAGGGTTCTTCATCAGATACTTCAGACCTTCGACTTCTGACATCAAATGTAGCGGCCCACTAAGTTGAATATTTTTTGTAAGGCGGTATGTCAATCTATTCTACGAGTAATAGTTTGGTTGGGCTCTTGTGTTTTCTAATCAGGGTCACCAGGTACTCCAGATCTTTGATTATCCTAGTTTTTATAGTTTCCCCTTTATGTGCCCATTAAACCCTAACTCTGTCTCTGTAATTTCAGCTCTCTGAGTTTATGGGAAGTTCTAGTTCTATTTTGATGATCATGAGTGAGTGAGTGTCATAAATGCGAAACTTTGCTTTCGCCTAACTTCGGAACTAAATGACCTACAGACTTGAAATATTGGATTTTAAGTATGGTATTATAGCTTACTGGATGACGAAAATTTCTGCGTTCTGGTCTCATCCAGAGGTTCTCAAATAGGGGCCTGAAAATGCGGCGAAACGGTTCCATTAAAGGATGGTACGGCAGTGTTTGCTTCGCGCTCGACTTGGCACTGCCGTGCCCCCCGATAAGACAATACGATCCGGATTCAAAACAAGAATCAATGCAGTGGATAGAAAAGGGAGAAAAGCCGCCACGGAAATTCAAAGTGGAAAGATCCACTGTTTTTTGGGATTGTGAAGGAATTTTGTTCATCGACTACCTTCCTAAAAATACTACGATGAACGGCGACTATTATGCCGCATTGTTGACAAAGGTTCTCCAAGAGATTGTCGAGAAAAGGAGAGGCAAACTGGTAGAAGGAGTCCTGTTTTTGCAAGACAATGCGCCCGTCCACACTGCTCGAGGTGCAAGGCGTGCCCTCGCCGAATTGGCTTTGAAGAAGTAAACCACCCACCCTACAGTCCCCTTGGCCCCCAATAATTCCCTTTTTTCCAATTTGTAAAAGGACCTCCGAGGACTAAGATTTTCAAGTGACGAGGAAATGAAGGCGGCCGTAAATGAACATTTTGAAGGCAAAGACGGCGAATATTTTTTTACCGGGTTAAAAGCTCTTTTTAATAAATGTAGGAAGTGCATTGAATTAGAGGGAAATTATATTGTGAAATATTTTTTTTATACATTTCTATCAGCATTTTTAATACCTTAGGTTCAAAACTTTTCAGCCGCCCCTCGTAGTATTTGCTATTTGTAAATTTGAAAGCAGTCTCTCATTTTCATTCCTTATAGAGCATGATAAGGGTATACTTCTGTCAAATTCACAAATAACAATTACGAGTAGCCATGTACATTGTCAGCTTTAGTTCTACAATTACCACATTATTAGCCCATTAGTGCTGGGGCAAACCTTCCCTACCTATGGAATAGAGAGAACATACTGTGACCCATTACGCAGGCTCAGTGCGGATCATTGGATGCTAATGACTGAAGATGCAGATGAGACCAATGGCCTATCAAACCTTTCTAACCACAATGGGGCTTAATATAATTATTTTCCGATCACCTATGCTATGACCCGCAAAGGGGATGATGACGACTTTTTTCTTTGTCTATCAGGTAGATTATCAAAAAGTAATTATTGGACAAGTATTTTTGGTATAATTTTTACTTAGAAGTAACGTCACAAGTCATCACCCCAAATGAAAGACGCGCTTTAAATTTGTAATTTTTTGATTTATTGACAAAAGCAAAAATATGTGTTCATTATTTTTTGATAATGTCACTGATGGATTAAACATAATTTCGTTAAATTTACCGTGTCATCATCCCTATTGCAAATGCTAAAAATAAATCATTGTGCCGTATTGTGAATTATACTTGACCTAAAATAGCTTTTATCTCCATAGATGTTGAAACTATACCTTTTCATTGGCAGCGGAATTGAACTCGGACTGGGCTTTGCTAAGTGCCTCTTGTGCGGCTCCTCTGTCAAGATTTTCTAGAGGGTGGGCTTCTTCTGCCAAAACCTATAACAAGTAAAGTTTTTCTTATAGATAACATTTATTTATCAGTAGATATAACAAATTGTTATATAATAACACAAAATTCTAAACATTGGCTAACAATTCAAAAATTTTGGTAGGTTGACAAACAGATAACAATGTCGATATCTAATAACAATAACTGCAAATCAGTTCCAAACAATCTAACATAATTTAAATTTTCTATTTAGCAAGTAATAAATTTACCTGAACTGATGAATCATCATTGACAGTGATGGTGCCGGAGGATACAAAAATCTTATTTGTCTTGCCATCATTTTCCAAAACTGTGACAACTCCAGGGCGCAGTACAGCTATAATATTACAATTTGTTGTAATAAGAAAAGGATGGACACTATTACATATGGGGGGGTTTGAGATACAGAGGTGTGTCTCTGTGGACTCTTTTTTCATAATACAAAAATAATCACAATATGCTGATATAATTAACATGAATTAACATTGTTCTTTCTTTTCAATGTTTCAACAAGCTATACCAACATATATGTATATTTCTTAAAATACAATAATATATATTATAAATAATATATCTTTATACCTAATGTGGGTACATGTTTGGGGAGGATACCAAAAGCTCCACTGAGTGATGGCACATCAATCTGCTTCACCACTTGCTTATTATAAAAAACCTGTAAAAACCAAAACATTACGATGAAATTAAATATTGCAATGATATTATTTGAATTTGTACTACTCAAAGTGATTATTTAGTATGTTATATTAGAGATTGGACAATCGGATGCATATTTATCTAAAGTTGGGTTGTTGGCTTCTTTAGAAAGTGCTTTTTTATCTCAATAATTCTGAGATTCCAAGATATTCAAATTTAAGTGTATACCCTATGAGATCTAATAAACCCAGTTTGACACAAATGACAGTTGCCCTGTGTGTATGACATAAAAGTAATGTGTAAGTTGTTCGTAATGAATGTATTAATTTCTTTTTTCTCATTAACCACACCATCATTTCTCTTAAACCTTGCACACAAGGGAAATTCACATTTAACTTAAATTAGTTATATGATTTGGAGTCCCAGGATTTTATTTATGTCCGAAGAAGTCACTGCCATAATTTTTTGCCAAACACTAACTTTAGGTAAATATGCATCTGATTATTGGATCTCTAGTTACAATATACATAATGAAAAATAATTCATATTCAATAGTAACAAAATTGTATAATTAATTGTAATGACAAGTACCAAGTGTTGTCATGTCACTTACAGTTGCACTTAAGTAAGTACTCAAGTAAAGAATAAATATATAATCATTATTGTGTGAATTATTAAGTACAATTTAATGTACCATATTTCAAAAACCAGAAATACTAAAACCTTAGTAAATTGTACCATTCTAATGGAAATAAATTAATTCAGTGGCGAGTCTCACAGAGACTACAGTTTCATTAAGAATTTATAGCCCTCAGCTCAGATTACAGTACTAAAGGCAGAGAGAGCGCACAGTACACAGATTGTGTGCCACCAAAGCAAATATCAAGACAATAGCGAATATTAACTCGCGTCAGTATACTCCGTTGTGAATACATCCCGTGAATATTACATTATTTATCAAAACTGTACAGCCTTGTTCAATATGTATAAACTGTTCATAAAAATACTTTTGACTTGATATTTGGGTAAAAGTTAAGAAATAAGCTTCCTCGTTAGGGGTTTGCGGAGGAGGGAGGGGGTGGGAAGCCCCCATATTCAAGCCCCGTCTGTCGGAGTTTCGTAGTTTTTTCAGGAAAAAAAATGTAAACATAACCTCAAAATAACATATGCATAAAAAGCAAGAGAGAGATGACATGTTAGGTTAGGGCTTAGGGGAAAAACGGTAGTGATACAAACCCCACAAAACCTTTTTTTTTTGATAAAAAAAAATTACAACTAGGTTCATACCTGCAATTTTTTTATAAAATCTTACCTATCAAGTGACCTACAGGACTAAGGCTGGTAAAACTGTTCTTCCAGGGGCCAAGAGGGTTTTTGTAGAAAAGGTCTCTTAATTTTTTTCCTGGCGTTTCGCCGGCCGCTCCCGCGGCAGGCTCGCTTCGCACTTTCGGCTCGCACGTTATAGTCACAACACTAAGCTAACCTAGTGTGAAGTATCACCACTTGGGCCCTGGAAGGACAGTTTAGCCCTAAGGCCAACTTTAAGCTTCCGAACGTTTCTGGCGCTGTGGGAAGTGCACCTCCGCCCTTGCGTAACAAACCGTAACTTGCGTACATGCTCACCTATGCAGCTACGGTCCAGGTTGTGTGTCCGTAATTCTAAACGTCGAAACCATATCAAAAACGTTCAGTGTCCAAATTCATAGCCAAAGTGAGTGGCAATGCAATCCAGTCCAGGGGGTGCACTAAAGTCAGTAAAAAGGGTTGAAATCACACAAAAGATAGCAGAGAACATTCACGGAAACCGAAATTTTTCTTTTCACATTGTTCCAATTACTTTTTGAATGTCGTTTTACTTTTCTTCTCACTTCATGGGTTTCGTTACACTCAAAAAAAAGAACGTAGGCAACTCTGGCAACTAAAATTGATGTCAGGAGTTTCAGTAAAACCCCCTGAGCGTCAGATTTCCCAGAACGAGGAAGCTTATTTCTAAACCCGATATTTGCTTTGGTGGCACGCAAACTGTGTAATATGAGGACCTAAGGCTCTCAAATAATAACATTATTGAAATTACCTTATTGCCAGCAGCAAAAGTGAGAGCCATTTCTCCCTCTTTTGGTGCCTCCGCAGCGAAGCTACGAACCTGCAGTCTCTTCGTTGAATTCCTCAACAAACTGCGGAGTGCCATGGCCATTCTAAGTGAAATAAACAAATTTTAATCTAGTTCTGAAACATTAAATCCAACCTTAAAAATAGAATAACAATCAACAAATCGTTTTATATTAAAATAGGAAATATTTAAATATTATTTGATTAGTATATCAATAAAAACTGATAATTATTTTCTAAATGCAACCTCTACGATGAGTAGATTATGTAATAATCGACAGCATAAAAAATGAGTAAGGAATACCAATTATTTAATTACTTTATTAATTAGTATAATAAATAATTTACCCAACACTCACATTGCTAAAGAAGATTAAAAAGCACCGACAATTTTATAAAATTAACCTCAGGTTTCGGCAGTCAGCCAGTTTTTGACATTAAATGTATTAACTCTATACTCTATTCTCTTTGACTTGAGACACAATCTCTGTAGTCTGTGGTAATATCTCAAATAAGTGGAAGGCAAAAACTACTAAATTCATCCAACCTCGTATCCTCTTATTGTCCTATCAGAAGTAGGTCTAAGAGTATATACTAATGGAGATGCCATACCGTTCAATCGACGAACAAAAATTTCTACCACCACGCGTATAATATCACTAACTAAGTGGGTGATGTTTACATTTCGTGACTAAAATCAAATAAAATGTCCGAACTTTTATCGAAATGTCCGGCTTTTTGTCAGGACTTTTCAAATTTTCAAATAGTAACCCTAGGTACAATTTGTCTATAAAGTCGTGACATTAAATGATGGCACCACTAGTGTGCATGTAGCAACCCTGTACAGTCTGACCAAAATGATTTTGATACTAGCAGTTCATTCAAGTAAAATAGGTAATTAATAAGACACACTATACAGTCGTATTTTGTTTCTGTTTTATATATAGTACCTATGCTTATAAAAAGTTTAGCCAAGCATATTTAATTGAATCAGAATAAAATTATTATAGATAAAATAGTACTTTATAGTGTAAAAGTGTATAATGTTGGTGATTACCGCTGAGGTGCCATTGAGACCAGAGCCGTTAGGTAATCATCAGTACACACAAGTATCATCATACGACGTTTTTAACACACTTGTTAAGAAAATAATACTAAAAATCATTTTATAGTACATAAAAACTTTATTTAGAAAAACAATTTCTAAATGTGCAGTTAGTAAAATTAGTGATAGGCTGATAGGTATCTTCACTAAAAGCATCTGACCATGGTTCTTTATGTAACCATTTCTTTCTTTGGTCGGCCTTGCCTGTTTTCCCAGGAGTTTCAAACTTTCCATCATTCTTAAAACCTTCGTTGACTATCCGACTCTCTGATTTTCCTGAAAAAAAGTAAAAAAATATGTAACGGAATTGAAACAATAACTTATTGACATGAAGCAATGATTTTTATTAATAATTCTAGAAACAAATCAAAAGCAACATGGCAATTAATTCAAAATTTGTAGAAAACCTGACCGAGTTGAACCATAATAACGTATCAAAAGAAATGGTCGTACTACAATATTACCTATTTACAATGTCAATCTAACCTAAAAATGTGCAATGTAAACAATGCCTTTTTTGGTCTCAAAATCATAAATTGAATAAATTTGTAACTTCAGGCAGATTACAAACAAATAGTTACACGATTACATACCCGTTATAGATGCTGTTCGCCCATAAACATCATCCAAATCCCACAAAATTCGTCCAGCTTGGTAGTCTTCGAAACATCGCTAGAAAACTTTAAAAATCATTTCCCGCGTGCCACTCTGATTTACTTTACACATTTTTATACCTTTCAGCGTAGTTTCGTCTTAATTTATTACAGTGTAATCCAAACAATAAAAAATACAAAAGGAAAACTGTTCCACAACTGAAACTCGATGACAGCTGATGTTTTTTTTTGATTAAGTTCTCCCTTTTCAGGGAAGGCAAGGGGAACAATGCTTATACAGCCTAGTGACAGCTGATGTACATAAGTTTGGTGTTGCCTGACACTTCAATAATGTTAGTTCCTCAAACATTCATGTCACGACTTTATAGACAAACTGTACGCAGGTCTCACGTATAGCACACTAACGAAAATATGCATAAAATTGTTAGCGTGTATGCGTTTTTTTTTTGTTTGTATGATGTCATTTTTGAAGTGTATGGTTATAGCAACAACACGCTCGTGTTTGTGCGAGTGTTACATATTTTCGAAAGTTAGTTCATATGGCACTTTATCTCCGCATGTTATCGCTTCTTTAGCTAATAGATCAGCCTTAGTATTACCATCGATCCCACAATAACTAGGTATCCATGCGAAATGAATAACAAACCCGTTAGTCCTGCACTCATAGGTAGCTTTCCAATTACAGCATTATAGCGCATTATGCGGCATAATGCTTAACGTTGAGTGTTCCAACTACAGTAACGCTTCGCACAATTAGGGATGTTCCGATACTAGTAAATACGAGTAGGTACTCGATACTTTTGATTCGATACCAAGTATTTATAGCATCGAATCAATCTTGCGATAAATACTCGGTATCGAAACAAAAGTACTTGGTATCAAATCGAATCAGCATCACCATTTAAAAAAGATAAAATTTCCGAACGCAGACAGTATGAGAGAGCAAAAGCCCTTTCGCTCGGTTACCGGTATTCATCGCATAGCGGTGTGGTTGCGCCAGGCGAGCCGAACTCGTCCGACTTTATCCGAGCCCGAGCCGAAAACGAGAGAGCCCGCCATGTAAGTTGTCATCATTGTGAATTTTCAAACTGTCAAGTCGAGATTTAATTTGAATATACAAATGATTGTTTTCAAGTAATTTTATTTATTGTAATCATCGGATTATTATTCCAATGTTATCGTGGCACCAACAAAATCAATAAAATTTTACCAAAACAAACGAAACAATTGCAAAATGTAAACAATGTTTTAAATTTGTGAATTCTGTGTGAACTTTGGATAAAGGCAAATTAGAGAAAAAGCAAATAAAGGGACCAATGAAAGGTATACTTTTCTTTATTGCGACTGCTCTCCTAAAATATTAAATAATCCCTTTGAATTCCTAAAATGTTAAAAAAAAGTGACGCAAAACATTTATATTCTCGTTTTTTCTCACTTTTGTTTTATTTTTGTTCTTCAACGTTTATTGTTTTTACTTTAGTTTCCTCAAAGTGAAAAATAAATAAAAATAAGTGCTAAAAGTATCGATATCAGTAAGTATCGATACTTTAGGAGTATTTATTTAAGTAGTATTGAAAAAAGATTTGAGTACTATCGAAATGAGTAGGTATCGATACCTTGATGGTATCGGAACATCCCTACGCACAATTGAGCACTCTCAAAAGTAATGCTTTCGTGTGATGCGTGCAATCGTACCAACCCAGTGACAGAAAATTAACAAGTGTTTTTTCTTTAAGTTGGCATTGATCGAAATGTTTTATTTATATGTTATCGTAAGTAATATTATTTATTGTGCATGTATATATTACATATGTATGCATACATAGTATGCTTTCCAATTACAGAGTATAAAGCGACTCAGTGCCGCACAATGCCCAATTATGCTGATGCTTAATTGAAACGTGAATTAGTTTTCAAATGCACCAGCAGAGTGCGCTAAGTTCAGTGTTGAAAAAAAAGTCAATGTTTGTACCTTCATCCATACTTATATTTATTTTTTAACAGTTTGAATGAACTTTGATTATTTAATAAAAACTATTTAATGAAACGAAAGCTTTAATAATTTTTCAACAATAAATAATATTACTAACGATAACATGTAAATAAAACATTTCGATCAATGCCAACTTAAAGAAAAAACACTTGTTAATTTTCTGTCTCTAAGTTGGTACGACTGCACGCATCACACGAAAGCATCACTTAGCGTTGCTGTAGTTGGAACACTCAACGTTAAGCATTATGCCGTATAATGCGCTATAATGCTGTAATTGGAAAGGAACCAAAGTAACTCACGAGTAGCAAAAAGTACATGTAGTTAAGGCTTGAAAATTTCTCCAAAAGTCTGAAGGGCACTTTTAAAGTCACAAAATATTAGAGTTTTTGGGAAATTTCATGAGTCGAACATGCTCTACCGCTTTTAAAAGGTCAACACTCTCCTGTGGAAACAGAAGACTCCGGAGGAAGTTTAATTTTCTGCACCATTTGGAATTGTGCATGAAAGACACCAATTCCCTGCACTATCATTCGGACGATTTGCACTTTGATGCATCACAAAATAGATGATATAACCCATTGAATTCAGATTACAAAATATATTTTAGGTTTACAGAGACAATGGTGTAGATTCTGGCGTGATTCTCTAAACTTAAAACTAAATTTAACATCAGTCTCTCCTGTTCATTCTGTATAAAGAGTGACAAGGATGCACTGTTGTCAAATTTAGGTTTCTAGCTTAAACTACATGTACTTTTTGCTACTCGTGAGTTCGTTTATGAGTGCAAGACTAAAGGGTTTGTTATTCCTCTTGCATGGATACCTAGTTATTGTGGGATCGATGGTAATACTAAGGCTGATCTACTAGCTAAAGAATCAATGGTGTCGACTCTGGTGTGATTATCTAAACTTAAAACTAAATTTAACATCAATCTCTCCTTCTCATTCCGTATAGAGGACAAGATACACTGTTGTCAAATTTAAGTTTAGGTTTAGAGAATCATGTCAGAATTGACACCAATAACATGCGGAGATATAGTGCCATGTGAAAATTGTATTCAGGGTTTTCTGTCGCTTCTAAAATTGTATCTTAAAAATGCATAGCAAACGTTTTGGGAAACAAGCCAACATAGTAGAGGTGGATTGTACACAGATTCAAAAATTCATACCTTTATAACCATGGTTTAATAAAATCAAGCTGGGCAAAATGAAAACTTCAATAATAATCTGATTAAGATTAGGTCATACATGTGCTCCTTCCCATCTTGCCAAGCTTGGTATTCTTAATAGTCATATTTACGAATGTGGGTTGGATGAAGGGAATTTTAACCACATCTTCTTCTCCTGTCCTCGTTTCCATAGAACCCCCTTTTTCTGTGTTTCCATAGAACCCCCTTCAATAGCCTGATCTAGTGAGATCAGGCTATTGTTATTATCGATAGAGAAATTTATGGGAAATGGGATGACAGGACATATCCCATTTCCCACAAATTTATCCCTACTTCTGGTATTAAATGACACAGATTTATTAAGTGTATTGTTACCTTCTTTCTTTTAAATAATATTAAACTGGTGTCGATTCTAGCATCATTAAAAAAACCTAAAATTAAATTTGACAGCAGTATACTTCCTTGTCACTCTCTATACAAAATGAAAAGGAGAGACTGATGTTTAATTTAGTTTTAAGTTTAGAGAATCACGCCAGAATTGGCACCACTATATAGTTATACCTAGCTAGATATTTAGATTTAATTATTTGCATTTTTTTTGTAATATGTATATTTTATGTTAATTACATTCTTCCTACTTCCCTGATCCTTTCTTTTTAGTTTTCCTTATCCTTGCTTGCTTTAAAATAGTGGATATTGTCAAATAAAATTGGTGTGATTTTGTGTTACAACCGTCTGCGCAACTTAAGAATTAGTGGAATCTTTAAAATATACGCTATTCCGGTCAAGTGGATGTGAGAAATTTACTGTTGTACCTCACAGAAGCTTATCAAAAAAGTCAACTTGATAAACGTGCCAAACACTCCAAGAAATATTAGAATGCGTCACACCTACATTGTAATGTAAAAAAAAGGAAGATTAATACAAAAATACGACGATGGCTGCATGGCTTTGCCTTTGCCTTTCCAAATAGGGAAGAGTAGAACTAAAAAAAAGAAAAAGAGTTTTTGGCGGGATTTCATCGAGTGCGGTTGGCGTCTTATTTTAATTATTCTTAAATTCGTTCATAGTGGATATTGTGAAATAAAATTGGTGTGATTTTGTGTTACAACTGTCTGCGTAACTGAAGTATTAGTAGAATCGTCAAAATATACGCTATTCCGGTCAAGTGGACGTGAGAATTTTATTGTAGTATTGACTACCTCACAGAAGCTTATCGAAAAAGCCAGCTCGATACATTTCGTGCTAAACACTTCAAGAAACATTAGAATGCGTCACACCGACATTCTAATGTAAAAAGAAAAACAGAATAATATAACTTAAGACTAGGCTGTATGGGCATTGTTCCCCTTGTCTTCCCTGAAAAGGGAGAACTTAACCAAAAAAAAAAAGGAAAAAAATGACAGATTTTCCATTAATTTTTTTTCTTTCGCGGTAATACTGTTCAATTCTATTTTGCCTTGTTTATTTTAATGAACCTGTCGACTACATAGCGACTTTATCTGGTATTCTCGTTATAAGTTAAGTTTGTAGAAAACGTAAGCTCAATCAAATTTATAATTAATTTGCATTATCAGTTTAACATTTTTTGTTTTCTTTTTCAGATATTTTGATCATGTTGTTGTAATATTAGGTGTTCAAAGTATTCATTAAAGAAATATGGATCTAAAAGCGTTGGATGTATCTTTACTAATGAAATTAATTATTCAACAAGTGGATAATGTTACCTGTTTAGAATGGTATGATAGACATATTTAATAATTTAATAAAACTGGTAAATAAATCTGTAACTGTAGGTCTATATATTACACTAGTAATATCATATTTTGTACGTAAGTGAGTTCTGTAGAACAATTTTTTCGAATATTCATCAGATAGAAATCACAATCATTCTCAGTCAGATATTAGTAAAAACTCAATGTATCTCATATTTGAAGTTAAAGTTTGAATTACCAAAAAACTTTCTTATCATGAGCTCATTCTCTATGTTTATTACTGTTATTTCCAATATAATTTAGCCCTCACAAACGGGCCCCTGAGTAAAAGTAATCAGTATGGCATAAATTATATGTAAAGTTTTGAATCCGCATGTGTTTTAATAAATTTTACAGTAGAAATATTTATTGGAATGTATTTTAATTTAAAACACATCCCAGATTCTTTTAAGTTATTTGATTGCATTTTCAGTTGCAAGTATTACATTGCACCTGAAACTGCAGCTTGTGGTCACACTTTATGCCACACTTGTTGGAGGGGAAGGCGCACTTGTCCATGCTGTGCAGCTTCACTAGATAGGCGTTTGCTGAAACTTAACATACCAATGCAAAATCGTACAGAACATATCCAAACTTTAGGTGAAACATTTGAAAAACTATTTGACACCAAATGTGAGTATGTATTTCCATAAAACATACTTTGTTATTATTTTAGTGCCAATTAAAAATAATTATATAAAAGTCTTTTTATGCTGATATTTACTATCTAAATTCTAGTGGATGAATTCACCTTGGATGTGTCTGTCCCAGAAATAGAATCTTTGGATGATGCCACAAAAAATGTGAATTATTGGTTGGCTAGCTCTCAAAACCACTTCTCAGCTCCACTGCTTAATTCGGAAGAAATAAATTCATGTGTCCAAGAAGTAAATAATCCCATAGAAATTTCATCAAGTAAAATACAGATTCATACTAATTCTAAAAAAAGTAGTAGTCCAAGCAAAGTTGTTTATGTTCAACAATCCCAACATGATTGGGATAAAATTGAACAACTTTCAGATGTCGAAGGACACTCCACAAATAAAGAAAACGATAGAGCAAGAGCTAAACCAGTATTATCTTTAATTGAAGAGAGCGAATACACTTTGGGTAATCCTCGTAGGAGTTCAAGAAAAAGAGATTTGAATCAAAGCGAACCCACCATCAGAAGAGAAGACATATCTTTAGAAAAGTTCAAAGATTCTAGTCCAGGCACTGACAAGAAATCAAACAAGGGAAAAAACAATTGGAATAACGTCAAGAGAATGAGGAAAGAGTTCAGTAAACTAAATAAACAGAATAGAAGCAAATTAAATGTATCCATTGAGATGTGTAAGAAAGCTCAAAATGCTTTTAATAATCCTGATATTGATGCAAAAGAACAAAAAACTACTGATTCTCAATGCCCTTTGAATGAATATTTAATTGAAGACAACACACCTATTGGTGTTAAAGAAAACCCTAAAGAAATAGACAAAAATGTTCTCTCAGAAAGTACTAAATATAATTCCATAGAAAAAGATGCACATGCTAACACTAACATTGGCAGAGAAACTAGTTCAAACAATGTAGCAAATCAACCATTAGTAGTAGTAAGTAGTCATGTTAAATTAGACCATGAATATAATAAAACTTATTCTCCTACAAAACATACAGAAAAAACAATACCTGAGAGTATTCATAAAGATCTTAATAATATGTCTACAAAATTGGCATTTTATAAAAAAGGTACTCTTTGCCCCACACAGGGTCAAAGAACAAATGTACAAACTGTTAACATTGATGGCAGAACTAATAATAATAATTCAAATACAGAGGACATAGAAATAAATATAAAAGTAGGCAATACACTCACTAACATAGTCATCAAGAGAAAAACAAATGATATTCAATTAAAAGTAAATACGGACAGAGAAGTACAAACCTCACAAGAGACAAATCAAATTGTTAATATACATAATGAATATACTGAATTACAAAAAAGGCCACAAAATGTACAAGTTAATGTACAAGAAAAAGATGGTGCTAATATTGCGATAGCGAGCAAGGAATGTAAAAGTAATTCAGTTTCTAAAAACATATTACAGAAATCTCTCTCTACCAAGAGAAATACAGCTTCTGCAGACACAGTTACAGCACAGTTTGAAATTACAGAAAGTGTTGAAAAAGAGCTCTCTAACATAATGGAATGTGAAGAAATTGTTGACAATAACAGATTAACTCCAAAAAATAAAGTACCACAGACAAAAAATAAATTGAAGAATAATGAAGCTGTAAATAATAAAACTTCCACATTAAATAAAACACAAAGTACACATGACTTCGAAATATTTGACAATGGCTCAACTTGTGAACAAAATGTGGATCTACTCAAAGATTCTACTCATGCTGCTTCTGACATATTGGTACCCACTGTAAATAACAAAAAAATGTTAAGTAATCCTGATAAAAGGGATAGGGAGATTGGGGAAATAGATGAAATGCCAACTCCTAAAAAATTAAAAACTATGACAAATGAAAATCCAAAGCCAGATGAAATTATTTCTCCTCATATACTACACCAAAAAAACAAAACTAATGTTATTGAAAATGATTCAATAATTTATGATGTTGTGATGGATCAAGTATTTGCAAGTATTGATGCAGATATCAATAATAGTGAAAAATGCCATAAAAAAAATGATTTCACAAAGTTATCGAAAGACACTCCAGGTGTGATAGAAAATGAAAAGAAACAGGAGGCAAATTTTATTGCTACTCAAAAAAAATCTGTAATAGAACATGCTAATGAAAAATACAGTGAAAATATTTTTTCTTTTCTTGAGAAAGACACTGACTCGCCTGACATAATTACGAAAGGAGCCAAAGACGTAAGTGTCGATAATATGTGTAGTTTTGTATGTTTTGACTAGTACCAATTATTGTTAAAAAGTGAATGATAAGAAAATAGTCTCTAAGTTATTAAACTTATATTATTATTATGAGGAGCTCGATGGCGCAGGTGGTTAGCGCGTTCAGCTGCGATGGTTGAAGTTAAGCAACTTTCGCAGTAGTCGGTCATTGGATGGGTGACCAAAAACATCTATCTCGAGTTCCTCCGTGCTTCGGAAGGCACGTTAAGTCGTTGGTCCCGGCTGCATCTGCAGTCGTTAGCACCCGCCAATCCGCACTGAGCCCGCGTGGTGGGTCATGGCCCAATCGCCCTATTCCATCCATAGGGAAGGCCTGTTACCCAGCAGTGGATACATTAATTGGCTGATGATGATGATTATTATTATATTACAGGATGGTTCAACTCAACGTCACATAGATAACTTGTTAACTCCAAGAATTTTTCAAGATTTAGATTCAACTCATGAAGAAACTTTACTACCTAACTTAGATGTTGAAAACAAAGATATTTGTACCCCTAAATTTGAACAAGATGATTCAGATAAAAGTGTAGTCGAAGAAACACCACAAAAGTATGAAAATATATTAATATTTACTTTCATACTTATCTTTATATTAACATTAGCTATAATATTTGTCCTTTTTCCAGAAATATATCTTTCTCCAAACCCAAAAGTAAAACTGAAATAAGTTTTGTCAATTTACCAAGAAGTGATTCGGGTTCCAAAAATGATAATGGTGGGAGTTCAATGATAAAAAGTGTCATCACTCTATCAGACTCCATAGTTGATTCAATTAAAACTAGCAAAGACGCGACTATAGTAGATGTTGATGCAAAAAGGCACGCCCTAGAAACTCCTCTCACTATAAACAGATTTGTCGATCACATAAAACATAAATCCACTCCAGTTGCAAGAAAGTCGCTTAACTTTGCAAATGAAAACATTGAAGACGATGATGATCCTGAGCAGACATTATGCCCCAGCTCGGTGATTGCTAAAACTACACAAGAAAAGGAAATCATGAGTAAAGCTTTTGAAAAAACGCCAAACACGCCTGTGAAAAAAGTGTTGACAACAAAGAATATCAAAGTAAATAATATGAAATACTGCATTGCTGGATCATGTTTATCCACCAGTGAATTGACTAATGTGAAATCGTTATGTCGTAAATACAATTGGCAATACATTGATAAATATTCAAGAGAACTCACACATCTTGTAGTGGGTGTGGATGATGAAAATAAATCACAAAGGTAAATTAAATGTTTGAGCAGAATGTAATTTAAAGGTAGTACAACTGCATTTATACTTATCAAACTACTCTGCTGAGTTGACATATTAATTGATTTACAATGGTATTGGCTTTTGACTTAATTTTTGTTACTGATTTTTTTTTTTTTTATAAAATAGCATATAGGAATATATAAATACAAAATAGCAAATAATTTTGCTCACTCTTTTTGGTTCTTATATATTCTGCCTTTGTCATTAGATTATGAATGTTGGATTTTTCATTCAATGGAATTCTGACAGCTGTAATATTCAGATATCATAAACCTTTTCTGTCTTGTCCTTTTTATGAACTTATATATATACCGCGGGCTCTTTTCTGTGCTCTCGTCTGCGTTCTCTTTTATCTAGGTAGTGTTATACAAAAAAAAAATATCCATTTTCGACTGTTCACACGTACAATTTAAGTTGAACTGGCGGTGCTGTATTTGTTCTTTCAGAATAGTAAAATCGCTGCTAATATTAATATTAAATACACAGGTACTTTTTTTCATACTGTCAAATACCCTATTAAATTTTTAACTAAATATTCGGTTTTGGCTAAGCATTTCACATAGAATACCAAATTTTTAGTTGTGTAAACCGTCGTTCCGTTTACCGTCTAGAGAGCCGTGAAATACGGTCAGGCAGACGACAGTAACAGTAATAGGATTCCGCTTTTACCCTTTGGGTATTGGGTACCCCCTTTTTTTAATTTTCCAAATCAATACAGGATCGTTGTCATTGTATGTCTGATAATGTTACAGTCATTATTCTCTGCTTTTCTAACAATTCTGTCATACTTTATTAATCCTCTGCAAGCCTCTCTTTTCCAGTCGAAACTGGACAAGCGCCCAGGGCTCTGCCTAGGAGCTATTAGTATAAATTAAATTATTAGTATAAAGTTTCATCAATTTTACTCTGATTTTTAATTCGATGGAATTCTGACATTTCAGAAGTTTTGCGTGTAGTAAAACAGTCTTATAGTCTCTGTACATAATCTGTGAAACAGTTTTAAGCGAAGTTAAAAAAAATTCATTGAATTTAAGATTTAAATTGGAAGAAGTAAGGTCAATTTAACCTAAACAAGATTTATACAATAACGTCAAATTGACATTTTGTCATTTTTCTATGGGTTAAAGCTAGTTTTAGTCGAATCAAGATTTAGCAAATTTGCTGCAAGTGGGCCAGAGACTTAAACATTGACTGATCATATAAAAATGGATATACAGATTTTTTACTATCACTAATTTATTGAACTTACTTATCGAAGTTACAATAATTAGTAAGGAAATTATTTTTCTTCCACAGGTATCCCTGTCCACTATCCGTAGATTACAAACCTATTTTTTTTAGCAAATTCTTCACTTCTTGTAAAAAAAATTGATAATCTGTGTGCTTATTTTACAATTTGTGTCAATGATAATGATGACTTTAATGATAATTTTACTAAAACAAAATACTTGATATTATTGTCTTTCATATTTTTTGTTATTTTATATACAAAAATCTTTTCATTTATAACTAAGTATTTTTAACTTTTATTTTACTTTAATAACAAAGACCTTTGTTGTTATGAATAAATTCCGCCTAAAGCAACGAAGAGGAAAAATTATGATGGAAAATAACCGGTTTGTGTTGAGTAAAATAGAAAGAAGACATTGAAGGTTTTACTTTATCAGTATAAATAACTTATAAAAAGGACAAGACAGATAAGGTTTATGATATATGAAATATCAGAAAATAAGAGCTACCAGAATTCCGTCGAATTAAAATCAGGCTGTAGTTTTATATATATTTTTTAATTAGTTTCGATTGAACATTTAATTAAATTTTAGTTGCCTTTCATCAAAGAAAATATGTAAATCACCCTTATCAACTAGGAGTGTAAAACTAGCCTACGGTCTATTCTAAGACCAACTGACGGACCATGAATCCGTTTCGAAAGAGTTTGATAACAAACAAAAGATGTAATAAGTAAAAATTTCAGATCTGTGAAATATATGTGCGCCCTAGCGGCGTCTAAATGGATTGTATCCTATGAATGGGTTGAAAACTGCCTAAAAATGAATCTCGTTGTGGCAGAGGTAAGTACACACCCTCAAACATTTTAATAGTTGATATTGGGTTTATTTTTTTACAACACACTAAAATGATGAGCATGACGAAGATATAGGTATAATTAAATTAAAATGAAAACTATCATCATCTTTATGAATGTGGTGACTAGCGAAAATTAGAACTAACGCCGCCTTCTTTGTAAACGTCATATTTGGTATGTCATTTACGTAGACAGTGACGCCTTCTCTCAACTGTCACTCACATTCATAAAATTAAAAAAAATCAATATCGTTTATTCAGTCTAGGCTGTTACAAGCACTTGTGAATGTCGAAAAGCTACGCCATCGGTTCGCAAATCTACGGCGGGAGACCTTGTACTGAGAAAAGCCGGCAAGAAACTCAGCAAGGGCTGTTTTTTTCTCCCTGTATTGTATACAGAGTCGTCAAATTGAAAAATGACTTCAATATGAGGTAACTCATAAAGTCACTTTCCATTACAAATGCTAATATAATAAAAATTATGACTATATAAAAAACTGGTTTAACAAAATTTAGGAATGCCGTGTCCTGCTGTTTAGGCAAAAAAAAATGAACGATTAAAGTTTAGTACAACGGTTAATAGTATCCAATGAAGCAAGAGCAGACTCATCTCCGCTGGCAGCACCCGTTCACGAGCATGACGCATGAACCAGCCATCGCTTCGATAAACCTTTTTTTAGGGAACGCAACGACTCGCCTCACACGACACCACCGAAGAGATTTTTAAGAGAGCATGACTACTCATAACCACACATGGATACTATGTTACAAAGATAGAAAAAAAAATATAAAGTACCAGAGTACATAAAGATCCTTGTCGCACTGTAGTAGGTTAATTATTGTCGAAGTAGTCAGACAAACTATTGAAAATTTATACGGCCAGCGAGGAGGGGTACAAAAGTTCATTCACCTTAGACGAGACTACGGGTTTGACAGACTAATAACTATCTCTTTCCATCTCATATATACGACATTCGGTGATATCACCTGATCGCCGTGGTGCCAAGTTCGCAAATATTCGGGCGCGGCGGTAATTTTATGGTTAAAAATGATTACATATTTTCATTTCGTTCCGTGTCTTTCCGATAGCACTCGTGGTAATTACAAATGTTTTTTAACTGTTTAGAATTTCAAATAAAAAAAGGAATATAAAGAATGTTTCATTGTTGTCCTTATTTTCAGAATTGATTTAAGCAATTTTATATTTTTACAATATTAATAATTATAATAATACACATTTTTCTACATTTTATTTAAATATATGCCTATTAAAATTGTATAATGTTCATTTTCATAACTAAAATGTTATTTTCAAAAATGTTGCCAACCCCTGCAATGGCTGTCTGTAATAACCTTTCATTGATTTTGTTTTTAATGTAAATTTCTCTCGTCGGCATTTTACTTGGCTATTCATGTTTGCTTTTTGTAAACTTGACATCAATGTGTCCTTTTCATTCCTTATAAATATTGATAAGCAATCTGAGATAGATGGCGCAGTGATTAACGTGTTCGGTCTGTGACCATGTCAAGCAGCTTTTGTGATAACCGGTCGTAGGATGGGTGTCAAAAAAATGCTACTGCTTGAAAAAAAATCTACTAAATATATTAATTGACATTGTGGGTAAACTAACCAGTCTAATCTGTTTTTTTTTCCAATAAAAGTTTCTTTTAAATATAAATATTGTACAAGGACATGCTTTCTAATATAAGAAAAATATCCAATTAGCTTCTAAAATACCTATTAATAAGGCACCTTAATTTATAGTAGATAATACACTTGTTTTATGCATATAATTAAAGATAGCCACAGGCCCAGTAACCCAAAACTTTAAAAATCCACCTGATTTGGAACTTTACCGCTCTTGACTGTGGTGACTTGGTGTGTGGCTGATTGTATATATTTAATTGCTTTATATTAATGTCACTTTATTTACATTATCAATGCATTTACGAAAATTAACCTTGTCTTTAATACACTAAAGTCTATTTTACGTTGTCATATACAGAGAGCCAATCCGGTCCTATGTGAAATAGTCAAATTAGAGGGCTGTGTCTCGTTTTTACAACTAAAAGAACAGTCTACAAAAATACATTATTGAGTAATTTATTTCGCTAATCGCTTCTTATTTAATAGTGAGTTTATTAGAAGGAGGTCATAGTGTTTTAATACTTATAGCATTTTATCATAAAACAGAACCAGTATGAGGCATTGGACGGGACAGGGGAGCCAGGCCCAAAACGATCACGCTTGGCGAAAAAGAAATTATTCCAAGGGATCACTTTCTTCTGCATGCCGCCTTTCAGCGTTCTGGACATTAACACTTTAAAGGTCAGTAACTTTTGCATTTGATTAACAGCCGTACTTAGAAACGCTATTCAATGTAATCTTCGTCAATGAGAGTGTGTAGGAAAAGGACATCGGCCAAATCATATTTGGATCAAAGTTGAACGTCTAAAATAGACATTTTTAGTAATATTATATATTAAATATAAACAGTTTTTACAAGTTGTAATTGATACAAATAAAAGCCGAGTAAAATAAAAAAAAACAATAAAACACTGCACTGACTACCGTTCTCATCCGTTTTATACCTATAGTCTGTTTAGGATTCCGTTTTATTGAAAATACAGCATTAAAAATCAACTGATTACTAGATTCAATAGGTTTCAGTCTATAATAACGATTTATTGTAATAGATTATTGACTTTGTTATTATTTTATTTTTAAATTAGTGATTTTGTTAAAAAGTTGTGCCAAGTATGTTTACCAAATAGGTCAAGTTAGAATGAACATACTTTAATGTTGCCATTTATTTTATATATTATTACACCTGTATATGTCAATTGAATCGATATAATCGATTTTCATGCTATTAGTCACTTAACGACCCTGACCCCCTAGATAAGATACCTTTGAACGAAAGCTATCGCAAGCGTTAAACATAATATGTATGGAATTTTTGTCGTAAGCTCAGGCTTGATTTTCGAGTGTTACTGTCAAATACCATGCATTTTCAATTAAGTGATTATCGGTTTGATTGCTACGTCACGACAAGACGACAAGACAAGAAAACAAGGCTCGATTACAAAAAAAAATACGTTTGGCTAAGCAAGTATGCTATTAGTTGTGCCCAGTCATAGCTCCGCGCTTATTGGTTTAAAGCAGCCAAATTCATTTAATCGTATTTGTTAATATAATAACAAGCGGCCCCTCCCGGCTTGGCACGGGTGGGAATTTACTTTTAAAACATTTTGGGATGCCCTATTTACTACTACTGTCCAGCAATGGCCTGTGAACGTCACCCGAGACGTAGTTGGTAAGTCTTCAAATACTTACCCAATAATTTCATTAGCTACAATTCCCTCTTTCTGAAACACAGTAATGCATTAGCGTTACTATTTTACGGGAAAATACCTCTCTCGCCCTGTGGTAGTAGGTATACCTAAGTAGCCGGATCTTTGTAGAGCGACGATACTGAAAGGAAGGGTGGCTTGGTAGTTAATATCAAATGGCTTCTACTACAGTTTGAATTTATCTGTGATATTGGTATAATTTTTGTGCAAAAAATCAATTTCTGTAATGAAAAAATGTAATAAAAATGACAAAATAACATAACCAATAAATGTTCAGGGCAAAATTTATTTTTTCTTCGGCTTTCTTTCGCCGTGATTATCTTATATATCAGCTATCTTCGCGTCTAGACTTCACCTTCACTTAACATCAGGTGGGGTGGAGTCATTTGTCGGACCTATCTATAAAAATCTGAATTGTCTTTTAAAACCCTTCATTATAATACCCCGATTTAAATGATAAAAGCTATTTTTTTTTCAAGATGTTTTTCCATTTGGCGCCAAATATCAGTCATATTTGACTCATGAAGTAACTTTAAAAAAAGGGGTATCATAGGAAAGGCTTTTAAAAGACAGATTGTTTTAATTTGAAGTCAATGACGACCTCCGTGGTCGAGTGATTTGTACGCCGGGTTTCATGGTGTCGCCGACTCGAGAGGTCCCGGGTTCGAATCCCGGTGGGGGCAGATGTTTGTGTGATGAATACGAACATTTGTACTCCAGTCATGGATGTTTAATATGTATTTCTATATAAATATACTTATATATGTACAGTATATGTATTCTATCCGTTACCCTAGTATCCCATAACACAAGCCTTACAGTGCTTACTTTGGGGCTAGGCTAATTGGTGTAAGCGAAAAAAAAATGAAAGAAATGAACTTAGTTTTACTTACACAATCACGTCAAATCAAATGACACCTCGCACGTTATGTCGTTCAGGCTGTAGTGCGTGCCGAGATACATACACACACTCGAAAACCCCTACTCAGTTGAGTCGTATTCGTAATCAGCACTCTCGAAAACTATGAATATAATACACATATTATTATTGGTTTTATTAAAAAAAGCTATATGTATTCTTTCCTTTACCTTAGTATCCTACACACAAGCCTTACAGTGCTTACTTTGGGTCTAAGCTAATTGATGTGTGTTTTGGAAATATTTATTTATTATATTATTTATTCATCAAGAACTGTTCATTCAAATATCGTTTATTCTTTAACTGTCCCTAACTTTTGTATTTGTATACGGTTGAATAATTGCATAGTTACATAAAAATTGTTAGCGTGTGTGTTTTTTTGTTTTTGTGACGTGATCTTTGAACTGTGCGTTTATAGCAACAACATGCTCGTGTTTGTACGAGTATGCATATTTTCGTTTGTGTGCTATACGTGCACCTCGTCCCCCGCTAAAAATGCAGAAAATTTTGTTCGGCGAGTGAACGGTATGGCATCTCCATTGATATATGTTTTAAGCCTTGCAGGGGCATTTTAAACGCTCGCTATTTTGGAACATTTGGTGTGACGTCATAGTCTGTCTATATCAACAAAATAAACAAGTCGACAGTTACCAGGTTATATTGTAGCTTTCCAATTACAGCATTATAGCGCATTATGCGGCATAATGCTTAACGTTGAGTGTTCCAACTACAGCAACGCTTCGCACAATTGAGCACTCAAAAGTAATGCTTTCGTGTGATGCGTGCAATCGTACCAACTCAGAGACAGAAAATTAACAAGTGTTTTTTCTTTAAGTTGGCATTGATCGAAATGTTTTATTTATATGTTATCGTTAGTAATATTATTTATTTTTGAAAAATTATTAAAACTTTCGTTTCATCATAGTTTTTTTTAAATAATCAAAGTTAATTCAAACTGTGTTAAAAATTAAATATAAATATGGATGAAGGTACAAACATTGACTTTTTTTTTCAACACTGAACTTAGCACACTCTGCTGGTGCATTTGAAAACTAATTCACGTTCCAATTAAGCATCAGCATAATTCGGCATTGTGCGCCACTGAGTCGCATTATGCTCTGTAATTGGAAAACCACCATTAGTTAGACGTTAGGTCATTGACTTTGACATATCCTGTGAACATGACCAACTTGATGTTTGATTTGTTATTATGGACTTCTACGTCACAAATGTCACAACCGCTGTGTCGCGTTTCATGTACTTGAATTTCCCACAGGTATTTCGCTGTTTTCAATTATTAATATATTACATAAAAATTTTGTTTTATAAAATAAATATAGTGGGACAATTCAAAAGTAATTGAGTTTATATCAAAAATTTTTAGCCATACATATTTGTATTACATGCATATTCCCTATTGTCTAACATGGCGATATTATCTATAATATGTTTCAATATTTCAAACTTTAAAATTACAAGATATTTCAAAAAATATCAAATGTGCCTAATATGAAATGAAATGTCAACCTTGACAAATTGGGGACTTCATAAATGGAACATATTTTAGTTCTTTCATCCAATGTAGCCATTTTAGCACAGGCAGGCAGGGTAACAAAACAATTGGTTAGGATTAGGCTTAAATTTTTAAAGAAAGTTCTTGTTTTTAAGACTAGGTAAATAGATGATGATGTCACTTATCATCCGTTTGTTCCAACAATATTAACAACAATAGTTCTAAGGATAACTAAAACATTGTACTTATCTAGATATAAGAAACAAATCAATAAAGATAATTATTATTAGGATAGGATTTTCCCGCAATATCCCAGCGTCAAGCACCGATATGATAATATTGTAATTTAGCAGATAATATCTAAATCAAAACAAAAACTCAGACTGGAGCATTAATAGGATTCTTTATCCATTGATAAATTCAAAACAAATTAATTAATCATAATCAAAAGAAATCAGCTGTGCCAATCAATCTTCATTACACAATAGATTAAAAAACTTTTAAATACTAGTATCAGACTTTGGAAATAAAATAATTTTGTATTAAACAGTGTAAACCAGTGAGTATACATGTGTCCCTGGATAAAATGCAATCCCGAAAGGTGGCCAAACTATACTATAATAATAATAATAATAATCTATTTATTTCTCTCAAGAATGGTTACAAAGTCGTATGTTATAAAATACAAAGTATAATTAGCAAATAATTTTAACCTTTCCCGAGACTGGTGTCTGCACTAGGTTGTGAAACCTGTCATACAGATCACCAGGCTCCCACTGCGCCGGTCATCACTTTCATACTACACTATAGTATTCAATAAACTCATTTTCACGAGAGAATAAACGATATGATGTATAATATACTTAAATTAATGACTAATTTAAAGCTAATAATATTCAAGTTGTGTGTATCTACGAGGGTGTTTGAATGTGTGTTTGTTGTTATGTTATGTTTGTGCGTGGGTGTCTATTAATGTGTGTTTGTGCGTGTTTGTGCGTGTTCGTGTGTGTGTGTGTGTGTGTGTGTGTGTGTGTGTGTGTGTGTGTGTGTGTGTGTGTGTGTGTGTGTGTGTGTGTGTGTGTGTGTGTGTGTGTGTGTTTGTAAGCTTGCATGTGGTGAGTGCGTGTATGTAATGCACATACATTTGCCATACAAAAACCATTAAAACGAAAAATCAAATCCAAAAAATTTTAAAATAAAATGCATTAGCAGATTCAAGATGGAACAGTCATAAGGTTTTCAGTTTCAATGTACGTTAAGCCCAGAAGCCAGTCACTCAAAACCCCTTTATTTCATACCTCGAAAGATGATAAATAGGAATGATTTGATTTATTTTATTATACAAAATCGGACCTAAAAAACATGCAAATTTGTGGGAAAAACTGGTTTTGAACTCTTTTATCTGACAAACCTTGCCTTTTTTACGTTTATTAATGTTAAGGAGGGGATTATATGATAAAGAGCTGTGTGTTCTTATGACAGTGTAAAGGATAAAAAGTTGTCTCACCGTTAGCACCTTACATTTCCGGTATAAGTCCAGAGT